AAGTACCTAACACTTACACAATGATCATTTTGATGACTATAATTGTATTTTTATGTTTTGTAAACTTTCGTATTCTGCTGATGGAGTTGCGTATTTTTCGTCGCTGTACACACATTTTTGATCCTATAAAATGTTTGCACGATGAATGTTTTATTTTTTTTTTACCAACTTGGGAGTTRTATATATCCTTTTTTCTGATATTTTTATTCCTCACCCCGAGTGTGGTTTGTGCTTCGCTAAACTTCACAAGATGCAAATTGGGCTTGCGTGATTTACGATGGTATAAAACTTGTCTTTTTGTTTTTTAACCGTCCTTTGGACAATCGGACTTGAAATATTTGAGTTTAAAAACATTTTTCCTTTGTTCCAGTGATTAGTATTATAAATAAACACTCCAACGGGTGTTCAAACGTTTGTTATGGTTCGGTGTTTATGAAAAATTACAAACATATTCAGCAAGGTTTTCGTGGTCAGGTYGGATTTAACGAGTTAAATAATATTAATTTTTTTTTTTTTAAATGCCATGAAAAAAAAAAACTTACATTTTATTAAGGATTTTCTAAGGTACTTTACAGTGGATATTGTATATTATAATATTATATACTCCGTACATGATTYGTTTGAATGTTTGATTGTTACTGATTGATTCGTTATTTTAAAATTTTTAATTAATTGCATTGCATTATTGTAGTTCCTCCACTGGAAGGCTTCTACGCTCTGTTATCTCTATTTATTTATTTATTTATTTTATTACTATATATTACCTCAATTGTTCTTTTTGTTCTTTTTTGCAACAGATTGAATAAAACATTGTAAAAACAACAAAAAAAATTATTATATTTCAATTAACTATATGGAAACAAATAATAGTGTATTACAATATTGTATGAAAATACATAATGTGTATGAGTATTCCCAACTATTCGGATGAAATGTTTTTGTTTCTCATCCCCTATAGTGTTGGTGCTAATTGCTAATATATATTCTTTTATATGCATATGAAATTTACAATCTGTACATAAACGGCACAAAGAGTAAATGTGATATAGGAATTAACATAATAATATATAAGGAATCGATGTACCTACATTTGATATTAATTAAAAATAATTCACAATAACTTGGGCAATGTGCACAGTGCACAATGCACATATATAAAAACTGCACATTTTTTGTTTTTAACATAATATATTATATATTATTGTATAAAAGCAGACCACCGCACTATTCACGTTTTAACCTTTTCGGAGAGTTACCGGGAAATGTAGAAGTGGAGATGAGATTTCTAGCAAGTGGATTGCGATGAGATATTAACCGAAGGTGGAAACATAATTGCTAAATGTATAATTTGTTATTCTGGAAGTGATTCAAATTATAAAAGGTTAGTCTAACGGTTTCAATAGGTGTTCCAAAAACGTGATGGTATATAAAATGTTTGTTTTAATTAACCAAAATATACTAGTCGATTATAATTTTCTTTAAATTTTAATATCATGCAGAACATTTTTTAAGTATCCAATTGTAAACGGAATTTATTAAATATTTAATATTATTATTCTGCGACCATAAACCATTTTTTTTCCTTAATCCTTTCGACATTGAATAATTCGTAAATTTATGTTTTTAGCGTTACGCATCAGAAGTCCAAATTTAAATAACAAAATATTTCACCTATATACATTATACAGACTAAAAAAAAAATTAATTTTGCTTTTTCTTTTTAAAGTTTTTAAATTAAATGCTTTACGTCATTCGAAAAAAACTTTTTTTTCCAATTTTGACATTTATACAAATACGTATTATAAAATTAATTTAACTTCTCGTGTTATTTTTTTTTTTTTTTACTCTATGTGTTACGTAGGACGGTTAGGTTATGTATGATATTTTGATTGGGTTTCAATTGTTTTAAATGTCAATCAGCATGTTTCGTTTGATCGTATTTTTCTGCATTTTAATACATTATTATTTAAATTTCTCAAAGACTTTTTAACATTTAAGATTGGCACTGCTTTTTCGGGATAAATAAGATATGGTATTCAACCGTGTATTTTGTTTGTAATACGTACAAGTCCTTTCATCTCTGAGGATAAAAGAGTATAATATATGGATTGTGCATTAGACAGGAAATATTATTTTCTGTGACATATTTTTTTCATATTTATTTTCTTTTCAGAATACGTCTTTTCAATTATTCCGATGTCCTATTTTATTATTTTGAAAATATAAAATCTTTCTATTCGGCGTTTTATCCAACAATATTTCAATATCGTCGAATAACTTTAATAAACTTATTGACGTAATGATGAAATCATGGAAACTATAATAATGGTTATTAATACCTAATTATTATTAAAAAAAAAAAAACTTAAATTACATACACTTTGGAGTTTTTATATTTTTATTTATCTCACAAAACCCTTTTAATCGATTAATAGTTTACAAAATAATACATTTTAAACAAAAACGTCGCAATATCATATCATAAGTACCCATAGTATTCGGACATATTCAAGTATGTAAGTACCGTCTGGTCGCATTTCGAAAGCGCTTGATTAATTCAGCGTTTCTTAAACTGCAGTGTTCCACGATACCCTCTAGTAATTTTTTAAAAATGTTCAAGAAATCACTTAAAAATATCCATTGTGTAAAAAAAATTATATTAAATAATAATGTATAAGCCATATTATTATGGAACAATTTATCAGCTAACTCTATATTATCCAATAATCTATACTTAATACTCGTATATTATAATTSATTTGCAAATAATCCTAAAAAAGTAGGGGTTCCTCGATAAAAGTGGACACCAAAAATGGTTTCACGGATAAAAGAGTTTAAAAAACGCTGGTTTAATACCTCGCATTATGTTATAATATTTGTTTATTGATAAGTAAATTATTAAAGTCTACTCGCGCGTATACATTTTCCTTCTCCCTTATAACAGACTAAATTAGGACTGTCTACGAATGTGTAGGTATACWCTTGCTCATTAATAATTGTTAATAAATAATATTTAATACTTGTTCAATAAATATAAAAAATAACGCATTGTGATGTTAATTTTAATTCAAATATAATAATATGATTGGTTAATGTTCGTGTAGGATAA